GCTACTTTGCCATTTGTGATCTCCACTCTCTATCCAGTCCTCCTCCTCCATTAGCGATCTCGGATCTCCTTCAAGCTTCAGCTTCAGCGGTTCAGCCTTCAAGTCTTTAGCCTTCAAGGCTTCACTCTTCAAGTCCTCTTCAATCATCGCGATCTCCTACTCTTCAATCACCTCTTCAGGCTCCAGAGTCCAGTCCAGTCCAGTCCTCCTCCATTGGCGATCTTTTTCAAGCTTCAACTTCAGCCTTCAAGTCTTCAAGTCTTCAACCTCTTCAATCATCACTGGTCTGCTACTCTGCTTCTTCCTTACCGTGGCTGGTCTGCTACAAGTCTTCATTCTTCAACTTCAAGTCTTCAACGGTTCAACCTCTTCAATCATCACTGTCGCCATCTAAAAGTCTGCTTCTTGCTTGCCGTTGCTGGTCTGCCAGATTAGTTAGTCGCTACTTCAACTTCAGTTCAGATTTCAACCTTCACATCTACCGCCGTCTACGAGGTGCCATTTGTCGTCAACCAAGTAACAAACTACTGTAAGAGACTAAAAGTCATACTATCTTTCTCTGTCTTCTATTTCATATCATGATTCATGATATTGTATTGATGGCTTTATGTACATATTTACGAACCATGTTAATGGCTGGCTTTTGGATTTATGATGTGTAGAATCTGTAGATTTTATAATCTTCTTGTTGTCTGTCCAGGTGGCCTGCTTGTTTTATATGCTGGTAATTTTGCTTAGGCTTTTTAGAATTTGGTTCTGTTTTTTTGTTTGTTCAGGTGGCCAACCTACGTGTTTTACACTTGTAGATTGTGTAAATTCGCCCCTTGTTTTTGGTTTTGAATTGATTCATGATATTGTATTATTGACTTATTGTGATGTGAAATTGTGAAATGTGAATCACTGAACCTGTAAACATTAACTATCAAACTTTGATGGTTTTATTATTATTATAGGGTTGGTTTGATGGTTTTTAAATTTTAGTTAGATGAAAAACCTGGATTTTTTTTCCCTTTTTTTTTGTTTTTGCTGACGTCACCAGTCGGACCGACCGGTCCAATCGTTCAAACTGAGAATCGGCCATTTGGCCGAGTCAACTCTCAATCCGGTTTTCAGAACATTGCATGTGTTAACTCACAATTCGTCAGTTCACATGGGTCTTGCTTGACCAAGTCAATCACAAACTCCCACATGAGGTTAGTGAGAGGGGTTTGTTAGGTTAGTATTATTGTAAATGCAATTATATTGCCGCATACAAGTAGTTAAGGCTCATGAAAATTTTCTTGGTAAGCTTTTAAAATTGTGTCATGCCACTTACTTTGATTTAAATATTTAAATGAGTAAACGACATGTTCCCTCCCAAGGTTAAACAAAATGTCAAGTTCTCACCCCTGGTTTCATAAATTTTAGATTCCTACGCTTAAATTAACACTGTTAGTAAATTTTGACTTCTGACACATCTACAAAAAGTGCTATTACCATACTGCCCTTAACTTTTGATTTCACCACCACCTAGCCACCACCACCTTTCAACCCCATCACGATCAAAACCCCAAAGTCACCACCACCATCACAATCCCTCTAAACGCCAAAGCTAGCCCTACCACCACCAAACCACTAACAAATTTAGCCACAGACCGCCACAAATGCACCGACTCTTTGCTTAAGTCATAGCTATAACTTTTCCCTTACTTTACAATATACAAAATCATTTGATCTACATTTTGTCAATACCAACATAAAAATGATAGAAATTGAAAATAACAAAAACTGCTAGCAATTTGGGGTAGAGGGCTGTTGGATTTGGCCTTATGTTGGCCAAATCTAGCCGCCTCAAAGCCTATTATGAGAAGGGAGAAGAGTGAAGAAGAAAGAAAGTAGGAGGAAGAGAAGAAGAAAGAGGAGAAGAAGAAGAAGAAGAATAGGTAGGAAAAAAAAAAAAAAGAGGCGGCAATGGTAGGGTGATATTAGGTGGTTAACCACACATGGGAGAGAAATGAGAGAGAGAGAGGGGTGAGACGGATGTGGTTGTGGTTGTGGTTTGGAATATGGTGGGTTCAATAACCATTTTACCCTTTCATCATTAGGTTAAACAAATTTATGTTAATTTAAGGGAGAGAATATGAAATTTATGAAACTAGGGGTGGGAACTTGACATTTCGCTTAACCTTGAGTGGGAACCTATCGTTTGCTCTATTTAAATTATAATATTGTTAATCAAGAGTTGAAATTTTAGTAATTGACTAGTAATTTCTAAACCTTTACATTTCTAAACTACGAAAATCAGTTGATATCATATGCTTTAATCGATAATATGATAGAATAGTCTAACTAATTGGGTTACATACTTTATCGTATTGTCTAATTAGCATAATGATCAAGAAGGTTTTACTCCTTTCCTTGAGTTCATAAGTTCAAACCTTAGGATTATCTACCACAATAATATTGTGGCTTAACTTGATTTTTTGGATTTGTAGGATGTTCAATGAACCTTAGAAATTAATTAAGGTATGTGCAAGCTAGCCCGAACACTTGGTTACCAAAAAAAATTGCATTGTAATTTAAGTGTTGTAAAAGTAAAAGAAAGAACAGTTAAATATCCTTTAATCTTCTACATTTTATTGTGTTTAACTTTATTTAATTATCCTTTATTTTGTAACAGTTATATATTAATTTAAAATAATTAATATATTTTTTATCTTTAAATAAAGGAATAAAGAATGTAATCTTTTAATTTTGATTTATTTTTTTATATAAATTTTTAATGGTGAATTCCATACAATCTAACAGTGTGAAATTGTTGAGGTGCTACACAAAAGTAATTTTCTATTGAAAAAATATGAGTCGTTGTGTAAGCTTTATAACTTGTAAAGAAAGCATAAACAACATTTTTCAATACTAATTTTCTATTAAAATAAAGTTAAAAGATGCCAACAATGTCTTCATCACTTCATCTATGATGTTATCCTTGACACGTGGAGTCTTTTAAGGTAGATATTGCCAAACACATGTGATCCATGATCTATTCACCTCATTAATTTTCAATCACTATTATCAAGGGTCTCCAATATTCCAATGAAAGTATCCCTTCTAATATTTATTAATTATGGTGCATAGCTGTACGTTAAAAGACATTTCTCTCCTTGATTTCGAAAACTAACAACGTTACTCTCGTTATACTTTCCATCCACTCAATTTTAATTTGACAAACTTTGACCATAAAATACTGGTTTTAATTTATTATTTATTATCAAAATAATTAATACAAAGTTAATAATTAAGAATTAATTTACATCCCAAATTAATAAAATTATCAAAAAAAATTAATCCAAATTTCACTACCTTAAAATTTAGCCACCAACTCTAAATTATTAACACTATCCTGTGACACAATATGAAAATTTTATACACTCATTCAGCCGTTAAAATCATAAAACCATAACCAAAACAACAACCAAAAAAACAAAAAAAAAAAAAAGATCATAAATCTAAAACAACAAAAAATAGAAGCTAAATGCAATCTAAGTCGTGGCCAAAACAGTTGCAAAAAGATCACACGACGAAGACATGATCTAGCCTAGGTAGTCGTCTCTGGTTGAGCATGGGCCTTGTGGTGGGGGACCGAGCTTCAATTTTTTTTATTTTTGTAATTTTATTTTCATTTCATTTTATTTGTGGTTTTGACATTGTTTGAATAATAAGGTTCCAAGTTGAGTTAGTTGAAGGAGAAAACCTTTAGGATTTGATTAGAAATTAATTTCTTGTTTGATTAATGTTAGTGTTTGTTTGTTTAATAAGGGTAATATTGTTAGTTTTCGAAATTAAGAGGGTAAATAATTCGTAGTGATTGAAAAAAATTCGTCCATATAATATTAAGGGTTATTTTCATTTGGGCAACACTTGTTTTAAAAATTGGAAGAAAAAAGAAACAAATTTAATTTGTACCAATAAATCGATACGTTTTATCACTTAAATGACACTTTTAAAAGCATGTCTTTAAAAAAATGTTCACTAATTGATAAAATGTGTAAAAAAAAGTTCAGAATTATTTTATTGATAAAGATATCATTTAATTAATATAAATAATTTTTTTTTTCCGCATTTAAAATAAGTGTTTTTGAATCGATAACACACCATGATCGGAGGTCACATTAATAAAAGAAGTATTCAGAGGAAGTCCACCTAGCACAATATTAATAAAGTGATTGGACATAATATTACGAACTTCCTCCGATTTTAGATTTTATAAAAGAAAGATTCGTATCTCTATATATCTAACATCTTAAATAGTTCTCGATATGACAACATGATTTTGAAGATTGAAAATTTGCATTCCAAAGATACATTAAATAGTATTATGAACTTCCTAGAAGATTTTAGATTTTCTAAAGATAAGATTAAGATCTCTTCACTATCACTTTTCGATATGACAACAACATGATTTGGAGATTGACAGTTTGTATTGCAAGATATCAAGTAATGGCTGACATGGGATATGAATCCCTTATTGATCTTCTACAGGTAATTATAATTATTTTCTTGAAAATATTCATCATTTTGAAAATTTTGATATTAATCCATTAATCCAAAAGTTCTGGAAAATGCCGCTTTCATCCCTAGTTTCTTATTAATATAAGTAAAATAGTTTTTTTGATAATTTAAATAAATAAAAAATAATTATCAATTTTTTAAATCACATTTTAACTCGAAAAACTTACAAAAAAAAAAATATAATTATTATATTTATAAATATAACATAACCAAAATGATATATAATTTATTACCCTTATTATATATGAGAATCTGTAATTATAAAATATTATAATAATTATAAAATTAAATAATATTTAATAAGAAAACTCTGAACAAAGGAAAATTTGAAAGAACCGAAGTTTTAACAACTGACAAGTGTACCAGTTGAAGGATAAAAGCATTATTTTCAGAAATTACTGGAGCAAGAAAAACTTATTTGGAACGCCAGGGCTAAAATTGTTATTGCGAGAAAAACAAAAAGTCAACATCTTACACAAGATAGACCATGTATAAGATGGGCTGAGCTTAAAAATCATCATCAGTGGAGCTGAAGCAGAATTTGTTTGAGAATAGAAATGGCGAATAGCAGAGGCAAGAAAAGTGTTTTGCTACTATGTGGAGATTACATGGAAGATTATGAGGTATCAAAAAGATTTTAAATTAATTTAAATCGTCTTTGTTTGAATTAAAAATGTAACTGTAAAGTGCGATGCAGGCCATGGTTCCGTTTCAAGCTTTACTGGCTTACGGAGTCTCCGTTCATGCCGTCTGCCCTGGCAAAAAGGCCGGTGATGTTTGCCGCACCGCTGTTCATGAAGTTTCAGGCCATCAGGTCTCTGAACCCTCTCTCTAAAATTTTTATTTTCAACATATTTTATTTGTTTTGAAGGTTTTTAGAGTTTGAATCTCATGGATTATGCTAAGTCGTTGGTTTGAGAATAGGTTTTCCAGTTTAGTTTTAAGTTAATAACTAATTTTTCTCACTCTGCCTTGTCTGATTTTATACAGTCGTTTTTGAGAAGCAATTTCAGTTAATATCTGAGGTCTTTTATATATATATATTCTTTGTTGTTTTAGTGAGCACTGGCACAGTTTGAATCCTGATTGTATTGCTTGTTTTCTTGATTTTAGTTTAAACATGTTTGAGAGCTTATATATTTACTGTATGTTGCTGATTGCTGAGTGAATAAAACAAGATATCTGACGCTCTTTTCAAACAGGAAAGGTTTAAACTGTTTTTTTTGTGGAGTGGTGCTACATGTAAAGACTAAATATACAAACTGATGTATACAAACTGATGCAGCACCATTCTTTCATTGACATGCAATTCATCTATATTTATTGATCATTTAATGAGTTTAATTTTTGTATGCATTCATTCGTTACTTTTATGACACATTAGTTTGTATAGAAGAGTTTGTACATCTAGTATTATTCTTTCTTGTGGCATTGATTGATTAAAACATGTTCTAGATCATAGCCTTCTCGTTTTAAAAGAGTGTACCTGTGCTTTGAATAACTGATGAGTAAGTTGCGTGTGTTGTGTGATTTTGAAGTTCATAAATTTGCAATTCTACTTGCTGCAGACATATTCTGAGTCACGTGGTCACAACTTTGCGCTCAATGCAACATTTGGTGAAATTGAGTTCAGTGCGTATGATGGGTTGATCATTCCAGGAGGACGAGCTCCAGAGTATCTTGCTATGGATGAATCTGTTTTAGATTTGGTGAGAAAATTTTCCATCTCAGGAAAGCCCATTGCATCCATTTGCCATGGGCAATTAATATTGGCGGCTGCAGGCACAGTTAAAGGTCAAAAGTGCACAGCATACCCTCCTGTGAAACCTGCTCTCATTGATGCAGGTGCATCTTGGGTAGAGCCAGAAACCCTGGCTGCTTGTGTTGTTGATGGTAATCTTATTACTGGGGCTACTTATGAGGGGCATCCTGAGTTCATTCGGCTGTTTGTTAAAGCACTAGGTGGCACCATAACTGGTTCAAATAAGAGGATCTTATTTCTTTGTGGGGTGAGTTCTTCTTTTATTGGAGCATTAAGCTAGAAATGTCAGTCAGAAGAGTCATTAGTTTCCTTTTATCCTGCAATCTGTTTGACACTTCTGTTGACATTTCACTGGAACAACTGAATAATATAATTTGCAACAGTTTTCAAATTGAAGATGTGACAAGAATTAAGAAAAAATTGGTCACATGTGGACCAGAAATCATATTTCTCAAGATTACTGTTTGACACACTGAATCATGCAATGCTACGTTGAACATAGTTTAACCTTAGCTTCACTTCTATATCTATGCTTGAAAGAAAACGTTCAACTGTTACCGTAACTTAGTGTTATGAAGTCTCTTGCCGCATCAGAATATGCAGTTTTATAGTTAAAGTAATAACTTCACTTTATAAATGTGTATGTGTACAGTTACGTTTCACTTTGTGCAACTATGAGTACATGTATATTTTATTTGTATGTATATATTCATATAATTTCTGTCTGTAATATGCTTGCAAAAATGTTTTTATGAAAATTTGTATCTATGGCAACTGAATGATATTTGTTTGAGTAGTACCTGATTCCATGAATTGGAGTTGTTGCTCGAAGAAATTTAATGTAGTCAGTAATCAGTGTTGGATGGCTTTTATCTGATTCTGATCTGGCAACTACCAAATGTAAAAATGAAGATATTTCAGTATATAAACTATTTTTAAGTTCTATTAAATCTAAAACTATAAATCATACTTGATAAAAGCACTTTTTCACTTGATTGTTGGCATAATTGCTTTCTTGTTTCATATTTGCAGGATTATATGGAAGACTACGAGGTAATTGTTCCTTTTCAGTCCCTTCAAGCACTAGAGTGCCATGTTGATGCAGTTTGCCCCAAGAAAAAGGCTGGTGACAAATGCCCAACTGCTATCCATGATTTTGAAGGTGACCAAACTTACAGTGAGAAGCCGGGCCATAATTTCACCCTTACAGCTAACTTTGAAGGTGTAAATGCCTCAAGTTATGATGCTCTTGTCATCCCTGGAGGTCGAGCGCCAGAATATCTGGCTCTGAATGAAACAGTGCTTGCATTAGTTAAGAAATTCATGGAATCCAAGAAGCCAGTTGCATCAATTTGCCATGGACAGCAGATTTTAGCTGCAGCTGGTGTTCTAAAGGTAATGCTGTTGATATTGTTTGTTTACCAAAGAATATGCTATCTATTATGTTATTAAGTACATATTTTGATTGCTCCATTATTATGCTGTGGGCACATTTTAGTGATTGTAAAGCTCATGTTCCATTTGGCTTTTGGGAGATAGGAGAGAAGGAAAGGAGAATGCTTTAAGATGTTATGCAATCAGATGTAGTGTAAATCAAATTATAAAAATATGAAAGAGAATTAAGAAATAACTGGGGAGCATCAGAAGGGGAAGAGGACATGAAAGAAGGAAAGAGAAGAATAAACTTCAATCTAGAGGTTTTGAAAACAACAGAATAGGGAGCGGAAGAAAGCACCAGTGAATTTTATTTGAATTTTTAAGTGTTTTTAATCACTGAATGACCTATCCCATTAACATCCTTTGACTAGCTCTATAGGGTGAAAACTTTTGAAAGCTAGTAACTCATCAAGTAAAATGTATTTTAGAATTGGTTATGGATTGTAAAAGAACCACATCTAAAAATTGTTAATTGATATTTATGATTTGTCCTAAAGATAAATTGCTGCTTTGAAGATTGTAGGAGTTAAATTTTAGTTCACTTTTATCGTTGTATGGAAACTGGTAACTGTAACAAATTACTAGCTGGCATCCTCCAATCCATATTTCCATATCGCTTCCTTTTCTTAAGCATTTTGGAAACTTTTTCTTTGCTTTTACTTGTTCATTTACAAGGACCAGGGACAGATTAACTGTACGGTGTCCAGTAATATAACATCCACATCTTTGTTTGTAGGGTAAGCTAATTAAATTGTCTTTCCTTTTCCACAACACTCTTGATTACCAATGACTTAGTTAAATTTAGTTGTGTTTTTAAATATAACTTAGTATTATAGAACCTAAAGGAAATTGAAAATAAGTAATATATTTGGGAGAGTGACCGTGGCTCATACGATAATGTATTGCTCCCGTTGATGCTGCTGTTTGTTTGTGATGTTATTTCTTTTTATGGTTAGTCATGATATTAAAACTAACCATGTGAATATTCATTGTGATTGTACTACAGGGAAAGAAATGTACTGCATACCCTGCAGTTAAGCTTAATGTGGTGTTGGCAGGGGCAACATGGATAGAACCTGATCCGATAGACCGTTGCTTTACTGACGGGAATTTGGTAACTGGAGCAGCATGGCCAGGACACCCAGAATTCATCTCTCAGTTGATGGGGTTGCTTGGAATCCAGGTTGTGTTCTAGGTGGTCTTCACCGTGCTATCAGTGTGCTTGCATGCACATAAGTGTTGACCATTTGGTGTGTAAAAATAAATGTGTTGACCATTTGGTGTGTAAAAATAAATGTTTCCAGCATTTGATGCTGTTTATCCTAGAGATGGCTTTGAATGTTTGGGTCTAGTTGCATTTCTGGAGTTGTGCTTTTTGGAGGAATTTTGCTGTTTACTTTGTTAAAGATAATCTACCCTAAATCTGATCAGTGAGAAGTGAAAAATGAAACCCAAAATAAAACCAATCACAACCACAGGCTTAAAAGGACACAAGCTTATATATGGTTTAACAAAACTTCTTCACATTCAATGACAATTTACTTTAAAAAAAAATAAATAAAAAATAAATGAATAAATTTATGTTTGGCATGCAAGATTGTATAACATTAAGTAAATGGTACAATACTAAATACTATAATATAGTGTTTGGTAATAAAATTATATTGTATTAAACAATCCCAAGTTTAAAATAATACAATTTTTTCTACATTAAATAATATTTATTAAAACCATTGTGTTAAGTTACTATTTATTTTGTATTAGTTTTCCACTTGCAATAAACATTGCCTATTAATTTTAGATAGGGGTGGAAAAAAAAACTTGGAAACTGAATCAAACCAGAAAATCGAATTGAAACTGAATCAGAAAAGCGGTTTTTTTTTTAAACCGGTTCGGTTTCAGTTTGGGAAAATCTATGAACCGGTTTTCGGTTCGATTACTGGTTTCATGCCTAAAACAAATGTGTTAACCAAAACCGGTTTTTTTAACTGGCTTATAACAAAAGACCTAAAATAGTAAAATCTCTAAAAAGTAAAACCCTAGGTTCCTAAAATTCAACTAAGCGTGTTGTGTGTTGCCTTCGACTTCGAGTGAGAGACTGAGAGTGTTAGAGTACTTACACCAAGAGTCAATGATTGTCGCCGATTGCCAAATGATAGCTGTCGATTCGCAGACAAGTCGACAACAACACCAAGGGTCCTCGATTGATCACATATTCCTTGATTTTCGATTTTCAACCTCCGTTATCTTTGCATCTTGCTAACATTTTGGTAACCATTCTTCAGATTTTTATTTTTTATTCTTCACTTGTTGGCTGCCGCCTCCGTCGACTGAGCTATGTAAGTTGAAAGTTTTAATAAATAAAGGATTCATGAAGCAGTTGTGAATCCCAATTGTGTTTGCTGGAAAGAATTCATAAATTGTTTGTGAGTTGGTCGTTTGCCGATAAAAAATAAACTTGTATATGTAAGTAGAGGAACTATTAAATGAAAGAGGAAATACTAGATTAACTTGACTCTTTATTCATCAATTAAGCAGCCTATATATAGGCATTACAACTCAACATTCTACCACCAAACTAGGCACTCATCTGAACATGCAAGACAGAAAATAAAGACACGTATCCTCCTATAGACCAGGTAAAACTAAAGACCAAGCTAATGACCATAACAAATCTTGACACGTACTAAAATCCACTAACAAATTCCTATAGACCCGGTTAATAACAATAAACCACATCTTGCAACAATAAAGGAAATAGAAGAAACAATTCCTAAAGACTAGGACAAGAATAACAGACCCACGTGATGACATTTTCAACGATCTCTCTCTTAAACTGATGTTTTCAAACACTCAGTTTAATACATATCAACAGCCAAACATCCTCTAATCACGATCTTGCAAAGTGCAGACACCAAGTAACTTCCTCAACTTCTGAAACGCAAGCAATTTGAGGGGTTTGGTAAATATGTTAGCAACTTGGTCTTCACTTCTGCAGTAAACAAGATCAATAACTCTATCTTTTGTGTGGTCTCTTAAGAAATGATACTTAACATTAATGTGCTTGCTTCTTCCGTGCAAAACAGGATTCTTGGAAAGTTTAATTGTTGAACTATTGTCACAATAAAGTATAGTGGGTTCTTGTTGTTTGAAGTGCAGCTCCTCAAGAATTTTCCTCAACCAAATGGCTTGACAAGCACATGCAGTTGCAGCTACAAGCTCTGCTTCTGTTGTTGATAAAGTAACAATCGGTTGCTTCTTTGAACTCCATGAAACAGCTGCTGAACCCATCATGAATACATAGCCAGACGTACTCTTTCTATCGTCAAGATCACTTGCATAGTCATTGTCAGTAAAACCAAACAAATCTGACTTTTCACCTTTCTTATAGAACAACCCATATTCAATGGTTCCTTGCAAGTATCGAAAAATCCTCTTGGCAACTAAAAGATGCATCTCCTTTGGGCATTCCATGTATCTACTAATGAGACTTACAGCATGCATAATATCAGGCCTTGTGGCAGTCAAATACATCAAGCTTCCCACAATTTGCTTGTAAAGGGTGTTGTTAACCTTATTTCCTTCAGGATCTTTGATGAGCTTCAAACCCACTTCAGATGGCGTGCTAACAGAATTGCAGTTCTTCATTTGAAACCTGTCTAGAATTTCTTGCACATACTTCTTTTGAGAAATAAAAATACCAACAGCAGATTGCACCACTTCAATACCGAGAAAATAATGCCTTTTTCCAAGATCAGTCATTTCAAATTCAAGCATCATAGACTGTCTAAAATTTTCAATCATGGCACTATCATTTCTCATATAAATTAAATCATCCACATATAAACAAACAATGAGCATTTTTCCTCCATCTCTAGTTTTTGTAAAAAGCGTATGCTCATATGGACATTTCTTAAACCCTTCCTTAGAAAAATAAGCATCTATATGACTATACCAAGCTCTTGGAGCTTGTTTTATTCCATATAGTGCCCTTTTTAATTTATACACCTTATGCTCACTTCCAAGCTTCACATAACCAGGAGGTTGATCAATAAATACCTGTTCTTCCAAGTCTCCATGTAAGAAAGCTGACTTCACGTCCAACTGGAAGATAGGCCATGAGTTTTCTGCTGCTAATGCGATCACCAATCTGATTGTATCATGCCTAGCTACAGGAGCAAACACTTCTTTGTAGTCAACACCAAACTCTTGCTTATACCCTTTAGCTACTAAGCGCGCCTTATACTTGTCAATTTCACCATTTTCCTCCAATTTTGTCTTGTACACTCACTTGACACCAATTGTTTTGTGTCATATTGGAAGATCAGTCAACTCCCAAGTATTGTTTCGTTCAATGGCTGCCTTTTCTTCATCCATCGCCTTGTGCCATTTTGATTCTTTGATAGCTTCTTCATAAGTTGTAGGATCACAATCAGCAAATAAGGCAAAATGTGTGAGTGGGTCCTCATCAGATTCATCAGTTACCTCATAATCTATCATCCACACTGGTCTTTTTCTAACTCGTTGAGGCCTTTGTTCTCCAATTTCTTCAACCACAGGTAGGCTTTGTGAATCATTCTGAGTTACTGCCATAGGTTGCTGCCTTTTCTCATCACTCTCACCATCAAAATCCGCTGGAATATGTTGTCTAACAACATTGTCACTCCATGGCCAGGTCTTTTCTTCATCAAAGACAACATCACGACTGATTACAATTTTCTTAGTGCTAGGATTGTATAGCTTATAAGCTTTTGATTGATCACTAACACCAAGAAAAATGCATTTTTCTCCCTTGTCATCTAGCTTTTTCCTCTTCTCATCTGGAATATGGGCATAAGCAATACATCCAAAAATTCTGAAATGATCTACAGCCGGTCTTCGTCCGCTCCATGCTTCCTCCGGTGTCATATATTGAACAGCAAGGTGGGACTTCTAGTCAAAATATGAATGCTCCAATTAACAGCTTCAGGCCAAAAAGTTTTCGGAATGCCACTCCTCATTAAAAGACTTCGCACCATATTCAATATAGTGCGATTCTTCCTCTCACAAACTCCATTTTGTTAAGGCATATATGTTGTTGTAAGTTGCCTCTTAATTCCATAGGTCTCACAAAAATTTGCAAATTCATGTGAGTTGTATTCTCCACCACGATTAGTACGAAGAACTTTTATTGGACTACCAACTTCTTTCTCAACACGTACTTTATAATTTTTAAAGGCTACAAAAGCTTCAGATTTCTCCTGCAAAAAATACACTTATGTTTTTCGACTATAATCATCAATGAAGGTAATTATGTATCGTTTACCTCCATTAGAGGATGGATTAATTGGCCCACAAATGTTAGAATGAACTAGCTCCAATGGCTTCTTTGCTCTCCAAGATTTTCCTTATGGAAATTGATTACGGTGTTGTTTACTAACAACGCATTCTTCACAAACTTGAGATGGAGCAATAACTTGAGGAAGACCCGTCACCATGTTCTTTTGTTGTAGTATTCTCAATCCGCCAAAATTGAGATGCCCATAGCGAAAATGCCATAACCATGTGTTGTCCTTTAGTCTTGCAGATAAGCATGAATGAGTGGTGTTTTGAATATACAGCAGAAACATTCGATTTGCCGTCATATTAACTTGAGCAATTAGGCCCAACTTTGCATCTTGTATACGACATACTCCCTCTTTGATAGAAATCTCATACCCTTTTTCTTGCAGTTGACCCACACTAAGTAAGTTGGTCTTCAAGTCTGGAACAAAAAGAACATTATATAGGGTCTGAGTAGAATTTCCCTTGGTTTGGATTGACACCTTTCCTTTTCCCATAACTGACACTTTAGAATTGTCACCAAACTTCACATTATCACAAAATGACTCATCCAAATCAAAGAATGCAGACTTGCCTCCAGACATATGATTGCTGCAGCCTGTGTCTAAGTACCACAAATTCTTGTTGGTTTCCTCCTTTGCATGACAAACCATTAATAAGGATACTTCTTCTTCCTTCTCTGCAAGATTAGATATCTCTCCATGTTGTCTATTCAGATTAGTTCGGCATTCAGATTTGCAGTGGCCATACCGATGACATCTGTAGCACTCCACATTGAACTTGTCTGCTGATCTTGGTCTATAAGAAGTCGAGTGGTGGCCTCCTCGTCCTCTTCCTCTTCCTTGAAATTGATTATCTTGGTATTGGTTTCCTCGATCATTGTTTGCTCTACCTCTGCCTCTATTGCCTCGTCCTCCTCTTTCGCTACATGCATCTCTATTGCCTCTACCTCCTCTTCCTCTACCTCGATCTGCTGATTGATTCTATGTCGTAGTATTGTTGTTAGTTGAAGCTTTCAGAGCTTGCTCCTCATTATCCTGCTGGATCAACTTGTGCTCATGAACCAGTAATGAACCTTGGAGTTCATCAATTGACAGCTGATCAAGGTCCTTTGACTCTTCAATTGAACACACCACATAATTGAACTTTGGTGTCATCGATCGAAGTATTTTCTCGATTACTTTTACGTCATCTATCTTTTCACCATGAATCCGCATTTTGTTGATAATTGCCATTGTTCTTGAGAAAAAATCAGAAACCGACTCTCCCGGTTTCATACGGAGTAATTCAAACTCTGTATGGAGTGCTTGAAGCTGCTGCCTCTTTGCTCTTGTTGTTCCTTGGTGCTTATTCTTCATGGAATCCCAAATATGTTTGGAGGTGTCCTTGCAAAGAATGGTTTCCAGGATTGAGCGATCAATAGCTTGGAAAGATAGTTCTTTGCTTTGAGATCCTTCAATCGCTGCCCATCAAGTTCAATTTTCTGCTGGTCTGTTAAAACTGTGCTTGCTGCTGGTTCTGCTACTCCATTCTCAACAATCTGCCAATACTCTTTAGACCTTAAGAAGTTCTCCATCAACATGCTCCAATGGTCATAATGACCATCAAAGCGTGGAATTGCAGGTTGCACAAAGTTTTCTGAAGCCATCGTTCGCTGCTACTGCAAAACAAAAAAAAAAAAAAAAACAAAAAAAAGAAAGAAAGGAACAAAGCTGCTGCTCTACTTCTATATCTCACGTACTCTCGTGTCTCAAGTATTCTCCCTGTCTTTTGACTCACTCAATCTCTCCTGTTTAAACTTACTCTTGGCAGCAGTGTCTCACGAACTCCCTCTCTCTTGGCTCACCCTCTCTTTTTTTTTTTCTCACCCAGTTGTCACTCTCTAGCTCTGATACCACTGATAAAAAATAAACTTGTATATGTAAGTAGAGGAACTATTAAATGACAGAGGAAATACTGGATTAACTTGACGCTTTATTTATCAATTAAGCAGCCTATATATAGGCATTACAACTCAACGTTCTACCACCAAACTAGGCACTCATCTGAACATGCAAGACAGAAAATAAAGACATGTATCCTCCTATAGACCAGGTAAAACTAAAGACCAAGCCAATGACCATAACAAATCTTGACATGTACTAAAATCCACTAACAAATTCCTATAGACCCGGTTAATAACAATAAAGCACATCTTGCAACAATAAAGGAAATAGAAGAAACAATTCCTAAAGACTAGGACAAGAATAACAGACCCACGTGATGACATTTTCAACAGCCTCAGCCTTTGAATCTATGTTGTGAAGGTTTCATGAAGCAGTTGTGAATTTCGATTGTGTTTGCTTCGACCTTTCAATTCAAACTCAAATGCTTTGATGATTATGTTTATTTGTTTATGAAATTATATGGTTACTGCTTCGAGTTGGAGGCCCCTTTTGGACTAGTTCTTGTTCTTAGTTTGTTTGTTCTCAATTACAGGGTTACTGCTTGCTTGGAGGTCCCTTTAGAAATTACAGGGTTACTTATTCTAAGTTAGCATTTGAGTTTGAAATGTGCTGGTTCATGTGGCTTTGTAATTTGTTTGTTATGTTCCCTTTCTGGATATCTCATACCATATTTTTTTATATTTGGAGTTTAAGAATTGCGCTTACCTTTTGATAGTTGATTGGTTTCTTTTTACTTGGTACTAACATGGATTTGGAGTTTAAGAATTTCATTAGTTCTGTTGAATAAGTTTGATTTAAACTTTAAAGTGTCGTGTTTCCAGATTTCTACTTCTGTGTTACTTTGATTTGTATTTTTAATAGTTTAGTTACATGAACGATTGTCATTTGTCACTGCAGAAAGGCTTTAAATTGTAATAGTTTGTGATTATAATATTACTCTGATTTGTAATTGAAATGTTAATCTAATTTTTGTCACTGCATAAAACTGGATTTATGTTGCAAAATTATTGTTTCAAAAAACCGATTGACTGAATCGATTAATTGGTTCGGTTAATAACCGATTTATGCAGAAAAATGGTCCCGTTTTGGTTCGGGATCTGCTTGAACCGAATATCCGATTTGGTTCAAAAAAGACCAAATTGGTTCAGTTGACTGGATTTTTCCACCCCTAATTTTAGAATGTATAAATTTAAATACACAATGGCTAAAGGCGGAATCAATGCCAGTTAACGCCGTTTACCAACGTTGGTCAATAGTAAAACAATTATGTTGACCGATGTTGATTGCCAGTGATCCGCATTGACTGTCAACAAGTTCAAGTTTTGAAACTTGTTTTAAATTATTAGTTAAATAATAATTTATTTATTATAAATTTTTTATATTTACTAAACACTTATTAAAATATAACTTTATAATTACAAAAATACTTTAATATATAAGATATATAATTTTTTTCCAATATATATAACACTAAATAGAAGAGTTGATTTATCAAACACAAACCTCTAGTTTTTGAAACTGATAACAATTTTTAAAATAAATTTTACAAAACACACTCCAAATTATTTTGAACAAAGAACAAAAATAATACTATTAATGCAATTCATACACCAAACAAATATAGTATAAAAATAAATATAACACTATGTTCTACCAATTATCATACAACATGTCCAATGGTATTATATCATAATATAATACAATATAATACTATGCTATGCTACGCAATCTAAGTAGTACATTGCGATGTTGTGTGTCAAATGAATTCCCTAAATATAATAATTTAAGATTAACTTATTTAGTTAATCCACTTTTGTCTAACGTTATGATTTGACACACTCTAATCTATAGAAAGTATTTTTCTTAATTTTTGTTTTCGTTAAATTATTTTCGATTCACCCAAACTTGCATGTACTTGAACTCATATATATTATCCAAACTCATTCTATAATTTACAGAAAACTAACTTATTTATCATATAGGTTTCTTTTCTAATTGTTTTGAAGTCTGGGTGTGTGTGTGTCTCCGGCTCGGTCCCTCCACTGGGCCCTCCTCAGAGGCCTAGGCCTGGGACCGGTCCCAAGCCCGGGCCCAAACCCTTTTGGTTTATTTTTTTTAGCCCCCTAGATAATTACATAAAATCCTCTATAAATTTTGAAATAAACAGAAATTGTAGGAGTTAAAATAAAATTTTACAAAATTTAAAAAAATTTGCATTTAATAACAGCCAACGGTCACATGACCGTTCACGTTTCTCATTTTCCCACACCACTTAATCTCTCATTCTCTCAATCTCTCAACTCTCTACTCCAAATCTTCAATCAAATTCTCATTCAATTTATATTTATATTTATAATTTATTTATTTATACTATTCAATTTTTTCTATTTTTCAATATCATCCCTTATTCGTATTATTATTTAATTTTTTTTCATTTTAATTATTTATTATTTTATCATAAATTCATAATGGATTCCCGAAATGATGCATTCGGAGGATCATCCCTAAATGAGTTTTATGTTCCATCCACCGAAGAAATGAAAGGGTTCAATCCATTTTCACCCTTTCCTCCAGAGGCAGCAACTGCAATTCAACAACCACATTCGGCCAGGACGAGGTGCAATCAAACACAAGTGAACTGCGACTCAATGGGCACGAGCATGACCCAACCCCTCCGATTGTCAAAGAGGGTCGTGTCCGATGTATGACAACACTTCACCGAATCAAAACGGCCAAAAACAAATAGGGAGGTGGAAGAATCGTGTGGGGCATGTAATTTCTGTAAAACCATTATTGGCACTGAGAAGGGGACTTCGATGATGCGACAACACTTAGAGAAGAAGCGCCCTCAAATAATGCAGATGTCCGATACATCTTCAACTGGATCAGGTAGACAAATTCAAACTCAACTTAACTTTAATCTACAATCCTCAACTCTCTCAACATGACAATACAATGCACATGTTGCGCGATAGGAAATAGCAAGATTCATAGTTACTACGGACTCTCCCATTTGTTTATTTGAAAATCCTTATTTTATTCACATGATTAAAACTGTATTTTGTCCAACATATACTCCTGTTAGTAAAGTACAAGTAGAAGAGATATACTAAAACTTTATAACAAAATAAATAATAAACTTAAAATCGAATTTCAAAATTTTAGGAATATATCTATTGCATTTACATCAGACATATGGGCTTGTAGATCAAAAACAGATTTTTAACTGTCATAATACATTTCTTAGATCATAGTTGGGGTTTACAACAAAAATTGATGGGTTTTAAACCATTACATGAAAAACATAGTGTTGACACTATTTATTTTACAATTCTTGATGTTTTGCAAGAATATGTATTAACTGATAGAGTTGTAGCACTAACGCTTGATAATGCAGTTGCTAACAGCGCGGTAATCTCTTTATTTGAAAAGAGATTGGATCCACGTAATAAAGGCAAATTTTTTCACCAGAGTTGTGCTTGCCACATCTTCAATTTGATTGTTAAAGCAGGTTTAAATGTTATACATTCAAAGATGGAGAGGGTGTGCGCGGCTATTGAATTTATCGTCGATAGTAGCAATAAAAGATGATAGGAGTACGTCAAATATTGTAGACAAAAGGACCCACTGGTTCGACCTTTGAAGTTATGTACGAACATGCCTATCTGTTGGATCTCCACCTACTTGATGTTGGAAAAAGTTTTGCCAACCGGAAGAACCATCTAGAGGAAGTTGTGAGCTATGATGATTGGGCGGTTTGTGAACTTTTTTATTCATTTCTTAAAAAAAAATTATGATTCCACAAATACATTAAGTGGTATTTATTATCCGACTACTAATTTAGCGTTAGATATTTTACTTCAAATTTCTAAAATTTTTGCTAAATATAGATATAATGACGTTTTAATGGAAATTATTCTAAAGATGGAAGAAAAATACGAGAAATATTGGTTAGATATACCATTCTTATATGGATTAGGCCTTGTTATAGATCCTATGTTTAAATTACACATAGTTAATTGTATAATTACTGAGATGGGCCAACATTTAGGACATAATTATACGTCTTATTTGACTAACTTTAAGCAAAAATTGGAAAGTCTTTTTTCTTTATATCAGACAGGTACAATGGAAGTGAAAGTGGAACGTCTAGGAGAGATGATCTAGACCCTAATGAAGACCTCCATCAAGGGTCAAGCATGTGGACGTATATGGAACATGGCGGAAGTAACAGCTCCAGCTTGTACATACTGGACCAAATGAGCTAAATCGCTACCTACAAATGGACCTGTCCTACATGACGAAGAAGGAGAAACGTGAGATGGATTTGTTTCAATGGTGGAACCAACATCAAAGTCGATTCCCCATTGTAGCCCAAATGGCATGTGACATTTTTTCTATGCCGGTTTCTA